CATACTGTTCGTAGATGGACACAACACGGCTGCGATAGTCCGGTGAAACGCTCCCGGTCACTGAGGGCTCAGGACCGTACTTATTGACAAGGGCGGCAAGCAGTGCCTCCTCCTGCCCCCGATACTTCTCCAGCTGCGCATCCACGTTGGCCAGCTTGCTGGGGGCATACAGAGTGTACAGCGCCACAAGCCTGTCACGGAAAGCGGAACTTTCATTCTCAGCTATAGTATCCTCAGTTTCAACGTAATCCTCGGCTTCCGGCTCGGGACCATACTTGTTAACCAAGGCCTCAAAAAAGGCCTCTTCGCGTCCAACGTACTTTGTGAGCTGAGCGTCGACTGAATCTACTTTTTCCGGGGCGTACACGGTGTAGAAGTTCATCAGTCGCTGCCGGTAGTACGCACGCCACTCATCTTGCTCAGCTTCTTGGGCCTTGTATGCATCGTCGGCATTTCCCTCCGTGGAGGTCGGCTCCGGGCCGTACTTGTTGACGAGCGCCTGAATAAAGGCCTCCTCACGGCCCGCGTACTTCACCAGCTGCGCCTCCACGCCGTCCACCTTTTCTGGCGCGTAGTACGCGTAAAAGGCGACGGTGCGGCTCCGGTAATCCATCACGTTCGCCGGCAGGTCCGCTGTGCTGGCAAAAAAAAAAGGCGTTAGCCCTGCTGGTGTTCGCTAGCTGATTGCGCTGCGGCCTTTGCTTCGGGAGAGTAGAGAGAAAAAAAAAAAAACGGAGTCGGGGTTGACGCGGAAGCCTAAGCGGGCAACGACGGTAAAAGCAATAACTGCGACGTCGCGTGGCGTACGCCCGACGGTGGCGACAAAAACAAAAGCAATTAATTTTCGCTCCGCTTCTGCCCTCACGCCATGCACTCGCCTCCGCGTGGGGTGCGGAAAAAGTGCCGCACGGAGGCGGCGACCTCGCTGCGTCACGCCAGAACCGGCTCGTAGACGCCCTTCGCCCGCACACGCTCCAAGAGGACGTCGACGTGCGCCGTCCGCTTCAGCTCTTCAGGGAACAGTCGCCATTCCTTCGCCGCGTCCGCAAATGAGACGCTGAGAAAGCCCTTCAAAAAGCTTTGCACAAAGCGCACATAATTTCCCTTGCGCCGCGACGTCTTGGGGGCGTCGCTGCGACTCCGCTTGCGCTCCTGCCTCTGCCGCGATGGCTCCTGTGACGCGAGCGTGTCGCGCTGGGAGAGCCTTGCCTCGCGCTCTGAGGCCAATGAGGCCATGCAACGGGCGTCGCCTGTCTGCAGGGAGTAGACGTCGTAGGAGCAGCCGTCGTGTACCAAAAACCGCCCCAACGCATCGACGGGCGCTATGCACGGCCGTTCCTCGTCGTAACTGACAAGAACGGCGCCGGCGCCGAAGCGTCGCTTGACTTCTAACATCCCTGTTTTGGTGCAGTAGCGACCGCCGTTGACACGCACGTACATTCCTTCGCCTGCGTTTCCCTCTCCTCCTGCCGCGTCGCACGGACTTACGTTATTTACCCCGTCTGGTGCGGCTCCTGCGGGTCGTGTGTGACGGCGGTCGCAGCGGCAGGGCAAAGAGGGGGACAGCAACCCCACACAAGCAAACACATACACACACACACGAGGAAAAAAAAAGAGTAGTAAAGCAGGGATGCACCTCAATAGGCAAGAGCAGTAATAACAGCAGCAAAACGCATATTCGTGTTTATTTTATACCGCATCTGCCCACTAATCCTAGTGGCGCTCGCTGTGCTGCGAGCCAACCCGTCAGTCTCTTCTTGTAGGTCCATCGCCGTATGCGGATTTGCCTTCCCCAACATATATATATATGTTCGTTTCTTTTCACTTTTCCCTTCGTGTGTAAACAAGTTGCGTTGGCAGGCGAGTTACGCCCGACGTCGCAGCGTCTGCAGGAGATCCTCCGCCACGGCGGCGCCGCCCTTCTGGAGGTACACAATCAAAAGCGCCTTCTGCACATCGGGCGTCAACGCCGGGGGCATCCGCCGCGCGTTCGCCGCGAGCGCCCAAGCAAGCGCGTCCTTCAGCGGACCACGCTCGAGCTGCGGGAGAAGCGATGCCGCCGTGTTCAGCTCCGCCATCGTGGCGCAGCGCCCGCACGCGCCGACAATCAGTTCGAGCAGCGTCGCCTGCATAGACGCCCTCAGGTCGGAGGCAACGCTGCAGCAGTTGAACAAACGCACCAGCTGAGGCGTTGTGAAGGCGACGGCGTGGATGAGTGCCTGTTCGTGGCCCAGTGGGCGAAGGAAGAGCAACAGCTGTATCCGCTGCAGCATCGCCGTGTCTCCTTGCGCCGCAACGCCTTCAAGAGACGCCACCAGCACCTCCAGGTGCGACGGCGTCACGCCGTCAAGCTCGTTCGTCAGGCACCGCACGAAAAGCTCAAAGGCCTCCGCCGGTAAGCGATGCTGCTTGCTTCCCATAAACCTTGCCACGTCCATCAGCGAGAAGTCCGCCGGGTGCGCTTCAGTGTAACTCAACAACCATTCAATCAGTGGCTGCAGTGCGGCGAGGCGCGTCTCCGCCGCGCCGGCAGCGGCCCGCCACATGTCAAACACGGCCGCGCTTGGCAGGAATGTGCCCTCGCGAGCAAACACCTCCGTGCACCGCCGCAGCAAGGCATCGGTGCGACCGCCTTGAGTGCCGCTGCCGTCGCTTGCCGTCGCCGCCTCCAGGGGAGAGGCTGGGGCTGCTGCTCCCGAGAAGGTAGCCCTCAGCAGGGAAGGAACACGAAGCAAATCACAGGCGCTGCAGACGCAGGCGACGCACTCCGCGGCCTCCGCTGAGGTCCCGCCACCCCGCTCCCACGCCCCGGGGAATTGTTCGAGTAGGCAATCGATTGCGGCGAGCGCGGGAAATTTCTTGTCTGTCCGCCCACAGGTCGACAGGAGGTCCAGCGCCACCGCCAGCACCCCCGCAATGCGACCACAGTAGCGACCCCACACGGTATCGCCCATGCCATGGCACCTCACAATGAACTCCTCAAGGAGGCCTCGCGACTCCACGCTGACGGCGAGGGTTTGCTGCCGCTCCAGAACGACGGCGACGCAGACGCTGGCGAGATCGCGCACAGCGTCGTCCTCCCCAGGTGAGCCCCGCCTGGCCTCAGCGCCGATGCACTCCACCGCCTTCACGCGAAGGGATTGGGCGACCTCGCTCTTTCCAACCGTTGCGAGAAACTCCAGCAGCTCACGACACACCACCGGCCTCAGCGGGCGGCGAAGCAGATGCTGGAGCAAGTAATCCACCTCGTCCGCGGCCTCAACGGAAGTCCCAGAGGTCTGAGAGAGCATACGGATGATGGATTCCACCGGCAGCAGATGCGCATCCGACAGGAGCCTGTCCTTGAGCGCTTGATAGTCGCTCCCCATCATCGCAGTCTCCTCGCCGTAGAAATTATCGCTGTCCCTGCCGGCAAGCCGGGCCCCATGTAGAACGCACAGCAACTCCTGCTGTGCATCACACGTGCACTCTGGGACAATAAAGAGCGCCTCCACCACCAGAAAAAGGCTGGCAGGCGTTAGAACCTTCGAAAGACGAACTAGGCGTGCACACAACGCCCTCCACAACGCGGCGTGTGTTGCCTCCCGCCGCAGCGTGGCAAGGCACCACAGCAGCCGAGCCGTTCTTCGCTCGTCAAGCCGCGGAAGTTGCTCTTTCGCGCAGTAAAGTAGCGTGTCCACCATGTTTAGCGGCCCTGATGGCGACGCCACGGCAATGGCATGCAGCGAGGCCACAATTGTATGCGGTTTCCACATCGCAAACTGCGATCCCACGAGTCGTTCATCCACCTCCTGCAGAAGACTGCCGATGCAAGCCGGTGAAATATTTCCATTGCCGCTGCTCTTTGCGACTCGAAAGATGCCAATCGCCACCTCCTCGTGGAGGGGCTCCACGGTGTGGAGAAGCGGGAGGAGGGAGGCAAGCCGCTGCACAAAGGCATTTGTGCAACGCAGCAGCAACGCGTCTGGCGCGCTGCGAGTCAGTGAGGCCGTTGAGGCGGCAGCAGAGCTTAAGTACCGCGCAGTCGACATGGAAGGCGCCGCCTCAGCAAACACCAACATCGCCCGGGTGCAGAGCAACGGGAGACCCGTCCGCGCCTGCGCCGTCATTTTTTTTTTTTCGTTCCCCGCGGCTCTGCCAAACGGTGCGGTGCCGCAGCCTTTTCCCGCCCCACTCCCGACGACGCGGCCGTGCAAGCAGGGAAGTCGAGAAGTGAAAAGATATATGCGTATATCCCAGAAGAAGGCGGGAAGCCGTGCAAGGCACCTCGCCTTCCTCCTCCGCGTATTCCCTGCCCCTCCCCAGCCGCCCCCGCCTTGCGGTTGCAGCCAATGTTACGCGTCCACTCTTCCTCTTCCCCCCTTGGCGTGGGCGTGGACGCGCCCCCACACGTGTGGCAGGCGCAGGAGCGCCGTGGTTGAACAGACAATGAAGAAACGAACAAAATTCACAGGGAAAACAAACAAACAAACAAACAAACAAACGACGCGGCAGGCACACCAGCCACACAAAGAAGAGGGAAAGAAGAAGGAAGGGAACTGGCGGGCGTACTATAGAGCAAGGAAAAGCAAAACGGTGGTGACACTCAGGTAAAAAAAAAAAAACTAAACCAACATTCGCCGGCCTTTTTTTTTTTGCTTGCCTGTTTCTTTGAAGTCTGTGGAGACAAATATTTGGCTGACCAACCGGCCGTGCTTCGCTTCCCGCACACACCCACCCCGCGATGGTCACAGCGACCTGGTACACGGCATGAGTGCGTCAATGTCCTCAGGCACAGCATCCGGCGAGTTGCGCAACAACGCCATGCGCAGCCCAGACGGAATGCTTTCCTGCAGCACCCGCAGGTTCACCTGGTTGGACTTCGCCAGCCAGCGGGAGGCCAACTCCGTCAACGGCAAACGCGTAAAGAGGCCCAGGGGATAGCGGTAAAAACGGTTGGAGTAGTAAAGCACATCCGTCTCACCTGGCAGCTCCCCGCCGTAGACAAAAAGTGCGCCCTGGGCGAGAGTATAGGCGTGGCCACTGCGGGCACTTGGGCGTGCCTTCCCGCAACTCAAGGTGAGGTCGATCCACCGCGGGAGCTGCGACCTTGCGTCAATGCACCAAAAGTCGTCAAAGTAGACGTTGCCGTCGTTGTCGCCGCCGTGGATGTACGCGCGTCCGTGCAGCACAACCATCGCAGAGGAGTAACGTGGAAAAGGGCGAGGGCCACAGCGTGGCTGTACCTCACGCCACACGTTCGTGGGAAAGTGGTAGTAAAAAAGGGAATTGCTGTAGGCAAAGTTTCCCGTCCGAGACATCGTGTGGGTGTGGTATCCGCCAAAGACGTAGAGAAAATCCCCCTCCACCTGCGCACTATGGCCTATCAGTGGCACTATAGGCTTCCCGAAGACACCCACAGACTGCACAGGATGCCACGTACTTGTATTGAAGTCCAAATACCAGAAACACGTTGAGGTGCTGCACGGTTCCCCCATTAAAACGTACATGCGATTGCGGTATACATGAGCACTGTGTAGACGTCGCTCTCCTGGGCCCTCTGGCTCCGGTGGAGCGCGATGTAGGCATGACCAGGTAAATGTCTGCAAGTTAAGCACAAGCACTTCTGAGAACAACACGGGCATATATAAATGATATCCGCCGTATACGTACATGCTATCACCGTAGATAACCGCGGAATGACTAATACGTGGCTCAACTATGTCTGCATTGACGGCCTCCCTGTACGTCCACGTAAAGGTCTTGAGGTCAAAGCAGTAGACCTCGTTGTACACAAAATGCAGAGCCCCGCCCCCGAAGAGGATGAGAAATTCGTCCTTGTAGTTCACCAACGAGTGGCAGCAGCCGTGCGGGGGGGTGTCGCCGCGGGGGCGCACGCTACTCCACAGGTACGTCGTCGTCTTTGCCACCTCCCCCTTGCCGACGTAAAGGGGCATTTACGCCGAAAAAGCGGCGGCGGCGGCGACAACAAACAGCGGTCGACGGGCCGAGGGGCGAACTGCAGAAATGACAATAATTGTTTTTAAAAAAGGCGGCAATACGAAAAGGGCAAAGAAAGAAAGAAAGAAAGAAAGAGGACGCGGTGGGGAAGAAACGGCCCTACTTGGCAGGGGTCGGCTGCTACGCTTGTGCCTGCGGCAACTAGAGGCGCCGGGTATCGGTTGCCCCCTCGAGAGCGCCCTGGCAGACTGCCTCCTGGCCGCACAAAGAACAGAAAGAAGAGAAAGACAGAGAAGTACACACACACAGAGAGAGAGAGAGAGAGAGAACGAAGGAACCAAAAAGGGAAAAGGTCTTTTATGCGGGCAAGACAAATATGAAACAAATAAATAAATAAAAACCGAGGTATTACAGAGAGAAGAGGGAGAGAGACACACACGCACACATGCATGCAGCCACGCAAGGCGGGAGAAAACATGCGGGAACGATCTCATTAAACACGCTTCAAGACGCGCTGGATTTCGAATTCATCGACGGCGTTTCGCACCTCCTGCAGCCACGTCGGGGCATCCACTGGAAGCTTCACCCCGGCCATCTGCGCCGCCGTGCCAAGTCTCGCAAGACCCCACAGCAAATCGTCCTCATCCGCCTCCAAACAAGAAACCGTCCCCCACAGCCCGTGATGCAATTTGATGTATTCCTTTGATGCTGCATAGAACAGCTCGAACTTGTGAATGGAACTGCAGTGCTGACTCTGCAGAAGTGCGATGCCGCCCCGCACCACCGCACGCAGGCGGCACTGTGTGTTACCATCACCCACACTTGCGGCAGTCGCCATAAGCGAAGAAAGGACGCCGTGAAGCCGTGGAGCCTGTGGGCTCGCAGCTAGTGTGTCCAACACATACGAGGAGAAGCAATCAGACGCAATAGTCCAATTCATGTCCCCAGAGTCATTCTTGCATGAAATGTACCTTTCCAACGCATCCGCAAGGAACCCAGCCGCCGACGTAGGCTGCAGGCCACGCATTAATCGCCAGCTGATGCAAAAATGAAGGGGATTCACAGTGTACCACTGCTGTAGGGCCTGAGTGTACTGTTCTAGTCCTAGTAGCCCTGTGGCCACCGCGGCCTGCACCCACTTCGCTATCCTCTCAGCCACACGGTGGCTCTGAGCTGCCTCCGGATCCATGCGCTGCAGCAACCCCATGACACTACAAATATCTTGCAGAGAGCCCAACACACAAGAGCGCAGCTCAGCCAATGAATAATCGTCAAGGTGCGATGTCTCAAGGGCCCCAGGAGGAAGCGAGACAAAGCCTTGCTCGAGCATCGTCGAGAGATAGGACGCAAGCACGCACCGCGGCGCATTATCGTTCCCACAAGGCAAATAGAGTCCCTGCCAAAGGCACTCCACGACACCCGGCAGAAACGGGGCATTCAGCTGACGCAAGGACTCACAGATGGCGGCAGCAGTTGCGACGTCGCCGGAATCCATAACAGTCACCCGCAACAGCACTGTCAGTGACGAGACCACTCTGTCCTTCTGCTCGGACCCCCATTTCCCCTTATGCCGAGAAACAACAATCGGAAAAAGTAGTGCCTGCCGCTGCTGCACGACGGCCTCACCGCCAGCCACTAAGGCAAGGTAGGAAAGTTCAGCATTCCAAGCAGCCACCGTGAGGCAGCCGCGCGCCGCTAAAGCCCGTATCTGGGCGTCTTGTGCAGGGGACAGCAATATGCAGAGCCGTTCATACGTCGTGAAGAGTGCCACCGGGGGTTCATCGTGCCAAACGACAAACGCATCGTTGTCGTTCTGTGCCACGTACAACGCAACGCTGTTCACGTCAGGGGCAGAAAAACGCCCTAGCCACACCAGCAACGAGGCTAAACAGCCCTTCAGAAACTCCGCCAGTCGCCGCAACGCCTCCTCCTTCTGTGTATTTCTTCGTCGAATGTCTTCCATGGCCATCGCATAGTCGTCAGGGTCGTCGGTCGGGTCCATCCCCGGCACCGGGAGAGGCGAGAGGACTTGCGACAAGACGCTGAGGCCCTCGCACAGCGTCGGCACGAGCTCCGGCGGTGCCGCCGCCACCGCCTCTGGCTGCTCCAACACCCGCTTCAGCGTCTGCGCCCCCGCTGCCAGGGCCTGATAGAGGACGTGTTCGGCGCCAAACTGCACCACCACCTCCTCCACTGCGGACTCCAGGGAAGAGGAGATGACGCGGCAGACGTGCAGCAACGGCGCCTGCGTGCGGTCGTCCAGAACGGCCTCGAGCGCCGTCAGGAGGAGTGACACGGCACTGGTGTCCAACACTGTGATGGCCCGAAGCACGGCACACACGGCCTCCAGAATGGCCTCGCTTGCAATCCCTTGCCGCAGCCGTTCCAGAGCCAGCCGCCAGAAAGCAGAGGCGGGCAGTTGAGCCCAAAATAACGGGGCGATTTCCTGCGGCTCGTACGCGCCTCCCTCCGACAAGAATGACACACCCTGCGCAATGATCGGCGCCTGCGCGGCCACGTCGCCCTCAAGCGTGAAGGAGAACAAGGCGAGAACAAGGTGCATGTTTTTCTGCACGCACATTCGCTGCGTTGAACGGCGCACAGGACCGAGCGACACACGCGGGTCACTCAACACGCTCATCACACCCGACAGCAACTTCATGAAGCTTCGGATATCTCCTGCCGTCTCAGAAACGACACCGCCAAAAACGGCACGCAGGGCCTCCACCACATTCGCATCAGGCTGCAGCAGGAGCAGCGCGGAGACGCACAAGTACAGCTGCTCCATCACCGGCGCAGGGAGTTCGGTGGCGCAGAGCGCGTCCATATAAAACAGCAGCAAATCGGCAAAGTCCGTCGGCCGCGCGTCGTTGACGGGTCGCGCCATGGCGTCCGGGATGGCCTGCATGCAAAAGAGACGGTTCATAATCGCCACGAGGAGCAGAGGGGAGGAGGACAAGGCCCCCGCGCAAAACCTCGTGACTGCCTCCCTGAAAAGGAGCGGCGGAAGACTCTGTCGGGTAATACGCGCCGTGCACGTTGACCGGCGGAGGAGGTCGCGCAGAAACGCCCCGGCCTCAACGCTGCCGGCCTCGAGGAATGTCTGCACCGCAATCCACACATTGGGCGGCACCCGCTCCTCCATGCACGGCCGGATGCGCTACAAAATGGAGAAGCAAGGGAGGGGGGAAAAAAAAAAAAAAAACGGCAACAACAAGCGAGGAAGAGAAATCGAAGGAGACCGCGGAAGAACGTTGATCAAAGCATCGGTCACGTCACACGACACTCACACGCAAACACACAAACACACCCACACAAAACGGAGAAAAAGACACAACTGTCTCAAATTCGTGTCCTCCTGCAGAAACTCCTCTCTCACGCCGGTTGCCGCTTGGCGCTGTCTTTACGCTTGCTGTAAATACTCTCCATCACGTTGAGGCCTATAAGTTCGTCCACCGCCTCCAGCTCTTGGCGGCGTGCCGCGACATCGTCCGAGTAGCCGCGGTCCGGCGAGTAATACGGCCGGAGGTCGTCCGGGTAGAACCTCTTGAACACAACACCGTGTGCGGTGAGGTAGCCGAGCACCACAAAGCAGATGGCGCTATAATATTCTCGCGTCTCCGCCCCTGCACGTCCCTCGCCGTCGCGGCGCTCAGCCTCCTCCTCCGCCTTGGCTGCCTGCTCGTAGTTTCCCCTCTCCGTCAGCTTGCGCTTGCGGTACGCGAGTTCGTCGCGACTGGTGCGGTGCGTCAGCGGGTGGTCGGTGAGGGTGTTGCTGTGCATGTTGTCCTCGTACAAACTCTTCGGGGCCCTGCGGATTGAAAAAATATCCTCCGTCCGCCCCTCAAGCTCCGACGTCGCACGGCCCCCACCACCGGCTTTACCGGCCGCCGCCGCCGCCGCCGCGCCCTTGCAGAGCCGCATAAGCGACTGCCGCCACATCCCAGCGTCCCTATTTGTGTACTGCGACTTGTTGGCAGTTCCATCGGTGCGCACGCGCGGCGTTGACGCGCAGCAAACACCCCCACCACCACCACCAAAAAAAAAAAAACGTGCGGAAAGGAGAAGAAAAAGAGCGTGCGTGGGCCGAAGCGGGAAAAAGTCACGTATTACGCAAATAAACCCACGCAAATAGAGCTGAATAAAATTAGCATGAAAGACAAAGGAAACTGAACCGAACACGAGAGACACAACCAAACAAGGCGAAAAAAAACGGTTGCGCGCCCGTCCTCCTCAGCGCCTCCAGTAGACGGAGAGGCGGAGAGGCGGAGAGCAAGGAAGAAGGCGCGGCAGCAAATTACTCCAGGCGCCCGCACACTCCTCAACGGCGTCGGTGCTCTCCCTCATACGACTTGCTGCAGCTGCCTCCGGAGTCCCCAGAAGGGCAAAGCGGGAAGAAGACGGCATGCGGCAGCGCAATAAATTGCTTCCGTGTGCGACTCCCTTCAGCATGGCGTCCGCCGGCACACGTGACCACAACCCGGAACTTGCCTGCTCGCTGCTCAAGCACGAGACCGGAGAAGGCAATAAACGCGACGGCCTCCTCCTTGCCACTTCCAGAGGGCTTTCAGTCGTCTTCAGTGCGACAAAGACAGTACAAATGAGCTCATTTCCGCTATCCATGGCTTCCCGTAGCTCACCCACGGCAAGAGCTGTCACCCACAACTGCTGGCCCTCTTCCCGCAACGAGGCGACGCTTCAACAACACCCCTGCCCCAGCAGCTCCCCCGCCAGCTCTTGCATCTCCCACTGAATACGCTCACGCCGCCCACGCAGATCCGTCAGTTAGTCCTCAAGCTCCAGCGCGGCCGTCTCGAAGGCGGGAAGGCGGTCCAAGGCAGCGCAGCGAAAGGGCCCACCACGCAACCCGGCCCCCGACACCTACACAGTTCGAATGGCACATGTGTGCCCAGGAAGAGCAGCATCTCGCCCTTGTTGTTGTTATTGTTGTTGTTTTTTTTTTCCTTTCACGTTTAGTCACTGCAGAGGGAATTACCACACAAAAAAAAACACCAACAATGACGTATTCCTTCATTATGTTTCCTCGCCTCCATCTTTTCATTTCATTCGCGTCACCTTGCCGGCGCTACCTTCCCTCTTTCTGTCTCGTCTGTGTGTCGTCCTCAGCGATGTCTGTTAGCTCTCTCATCATCATCTTCTTTGCTGCCTCTTCTCTTTCTCTTACTCTTCGCCTCCTCCCGTTTCCTTTTCCTTCTTCTTCTTTGCTGTTGTTTTCTTCCCCCTTGCTTCGTCCCCCTCTCCAGTCTCCGGGCGACTCATTTATCGCCGCTTTGCTAGAAAGTTCTGCAAGAAGCTCATTAAGAACGGGATCAGCAGGAAAGTCCAGTACTTCTGGAGGAACGTGCGGTTGTCCTCCTCCGCCTCTTCCCCCTCGTCGTCCTCCACCGGCACTCCCGCCTGCTGCTGTTGGGGGCTGCCGACGTGCGACGACGAGGCCTTGGACACCGTGCGGCGCTTCTTCGTCTTGGAGCCCTTCTTGCCCGCCGACTTCTCATCGACGAGCTTGGCAAGGGCCTCCAGTTCGGCGTAGTCCGGCAGGCTGCGCGGCGCCGTTGGCTCCAGCAGTCCGACGCTGACCTGCAGCCGCACGTGCGGAAAGAGGGCGAGGATGCCGAGGTCGCACTCATCACCGTTGAGCATCTTTGCATGAAATGTGTTTGTCCCGCTTCTTGCCTGAAGTCCCACGGCCGTCGCGTCGGGGCCAACGGCCACACGCAGCGACTCCCGCATCACAACCGTGCGAGAGTCCACGGCGTCAAAGCCGCGTACCAGCGAACACGGCGTGAGGGCGACGGAGACGGCGCTGCTGCCGTCCGCATCACCTTTCCGCAGCAGACGGTAATACACAAATTCTGCCTTTGCCAACGCCGCCTTCTTCTCCTTCGTCAGGTCCACCTGCTTCCCGGAACCCACTGCGTCGCTGCTCTGCCGCAGCCGCGCAGTGGCATCGACGGAGGCACGCGAGATAGTGACACTGCTGATTGTCTCCCACTCCTCCTCCGCACCCATGCGACGCTGCAGGTCGTACACCTCGGAGGCGGCCTCAGAGGCCACCGCGGCGAGGACCAGCAGGGCACACAAGCCTAGAAGCAACCCTCGCTTCATTGTCTTTAGGTTTGTTTTTCTTTTTTTGTTGTTGTTTTTTTTTGCGTTTCTTGGCTTGTTGGTTTTCCCTTCGGTGCGAGTGCCACTTGGCTCCGTCGATTTGAGAGTGTGGCCGGCGTTGTCAGCGCGACCCAGGACAATCCCTATAGCCAAGGCGTATGTGTGTGTGTGTGTGGTGCGCGGCGGGGCGCCGTGCACGCAGTCCCACTAATCGCGGTCTCCTCCCCAGAGTAGACAAGAAAAGAGAGAAGAACGGAGGCACACAAATGCATGACATAGGCGGCGGAGGTGAGGATGCTCACACAGATGGCGCAGCGGGAGGCGAACGAGGTTCTTCAGCTCATTGCGCACGAACGCAGAACGCACCTCCGCCAACCTCCTTTCACTCGTTTTGTCACATACGTGCGTGCGTGTACACGTGTGTGTATGTTGTTGTTTTTGTTTTGTCGTTGAAGCACTATTAGTTTAGCCGTAAAATGCACAAGCGTGCACCGACGTTGTTCATCACACCGCGACGTCTTGCTGAGGCTCCGCGGGCGCCTCCGTGTTGCACAGAAGGAGGGGGAAGACAAACGATGCGTCGCCGTGCACACGCACCACCTCACAGTCTTCCGGCAGCACGCCGTTCGCCTTGTCCTCCGCCACGTTGCAGGAGCTCGGCGAAGCGTCCACCTCGAGTCCGGTCGTCACGTACACCACCGCATCTGCGCGGACGTTTTGCAGCAGGTGGTGCTTTGGCAGCCCGCCCCCCAGCACAATGCACGTGGTGCGGCCGCCGTTGTTGGGGCTGCTGTCCCTGTCCCGAGTGTCACCGCCGCGGCGGTGGCGGCGACCCAACTCCCGCAGCCGCACCACGTCAACCACTGGGTCCAGCAGGAGCCCCTTCCTCGAGAAGTTGTAAAAGTAAATCATGTCACCGATTGAACCATCCGTGAGGGCGGGTGAAAAGACGGGAATGCCGTTGCGGTAGCACCAGTAAACGAGGCTGCCTGTGCACGTCTCCGGGTGCATGCGCTCAAGGGCCTCGCCCATCGCCGCGATCATCTCAGACGGCGCCGTCATTGTCTCCCAGCGGGAGTCGCGCTGCAGCTCATGCAGCCGCTTCAGCAGAGGCATGAAGAAGTCCTCGAAGTGGCAGTAGTTGTCGTTTGGCACAAGAAGGTTGCCAATGCGGTTGACGCCACTCCTGCGGAGCGCGCGCCCATCCAATTTGAACTCCCCCATGAGCGTCCTCCCAAGGCACTTGATGACGTCCTCCTCAATCCCGCCGGCGGTTGAAATAACGCCGTCAATGAGGCGATCCCGCGCCAGGCACGCAAATGTGTCACGCAGGCCGCTCGAGATGAGGTTCGAGGTGTAGGCCAGGAACACGGCGTCACCGGCACGCTTGTGGTACAGCGCCCGCTGCACTAGCCTCCGCGCCCGCCCAAGCTCCGTCGCCTGCAGACCAACGCGGGGGTACGCCGCAAGGACGCGGCGCAGCGCCTCCTCCTGGTCCAACGCCAGGAGTGCACTGTAATCCACCGCCTCTACGGTCTCCATGTGTGAATACGGCGCCGCCGTCGCACCGTTCTCCCTCTATTGCTGTCCTGTGGGCTCTCTTACTCGCAACTAGGTATAACAACACCCTCGCTCTTCCTTTACTTGGCTGGCCCTCCCCACACCGCCCTCTGGTGCTCAGCGAGGAGCGTAATAAAGACAAGGCTGCAACGCAAAGCCTCAAAAAAAAAATTCGAATCATAAATACAGCAGCGGCCAGCGAGACGCAGACAACAGAGGCGAGCGAGCAAACGGCATAACTGCACTGTAAATTTTACGGTGTATGAACGTCGTTAGAGCAAGACTCACATTCTTTTTTTTTCCATTACTGTTTATTTGTTAGTTCGTGTTTTCTCTCGTTTTAGTTATTCGATTTAGCGGCTGGGGCAAAAGCGAGGAGACGGCATCAGACACTACTACCACGACTACTCAGATACCGCCAGCCCTATCTCGCTCCCTCCCACATCCTATTTGTTTCTCTTTATTTGTAATTACACCCGTTTCTTTGCACCTCTGGGGCAAAGTTGGGAAAGGCCGGGGGAGGTGCGATTTCGCCGCGCACGCCACCGCACAGGCAGGATGCGGTGGGGCTTAATGCTGCACGTTAAGCAGCTCAAACCACTGGCGCATGGCGTCCGCAATGGCCCCAGGCAGCGTCTCCAGCTCCCGCACGATGAGGTAGTAGGGAAATGGGAACTCCTCCATGTACGCGCGGCGCACCACCTTACCGCCGGCAAACTCCACCAGCTGCATGTCCAGGACGGAGTTCGACTGCACACGACGCAGGCGCGCCTCTCTCTCCGCCTTCAGACGCCGCAGGCGCTCTGCCGGGGTGAGACGGGCGAGGTCCTTCACGGCAAGCGGAGCGGGCGATGAGAGTTCGGGCCCCGGCTGCGCCGCACTCCCCGCCCCTGCAGGAGCCCCGCCACCGCTGACGGCAGTTGCCGCAGTGGGAGACGCGGCCGCCTTGACGTCGAGTAGCACAAAAACGACAATTTGACGATTCTCCTCCGCCCGCAGAAGCAGCCTGCGCAGCTCCTGACGATCCTCCGTGATTTGTCCGTCGCTGATGATAAACATCATCTGCTGCAGCTGCTGTGAGGTGGAGCGCATCTGTCCGTGGGTGCGCTCCCGCGCGGAGTCAAGGTAGTCCAATGAAGTCTCCAGCAGCAGCTTCAGACTAGTTGATTTTTGGGCAAAGGTGATCTCACTGAAGGCGCGTGGGCCGCTTTCACCTGTGAAGGGTTCTTGTAACTCGTGCACAATGCGGGTCTCTTTGCCGAAGCAGGCGATACCCAACTCGCCCACCTCAAGCTGCCGCAGCGCCTCAGCCAGGAGAGCCACCGCACGGCACGACATCACACCGGCATTGTTGCAATGCATACTAAAGGAATCGTCAAGTGCGACCAGAATCTGATAATTACGCTTGTTTGGCTTCGTCCTCCGCAGCCAGATGCGATCCTTCTTAAACTGTGAAGCAATATAGGGAATAATTCGCTTCATGTTTAGACGCTTACCCGTCTTGTAGTCGCCCTGCAGCTTGTCCGCCAACGTGGGGGCGAGAATGAGACGCAGCTGTTCGCAGAGGTGGTGCGACAACCCCTGAACGGCCGCCACTTGCTCCTGCCAGAGCTTGCGGCCGCGACTCATCTTTTCCCCCATAGCGAGTGTGTCTTGCTGCTGGTCCAACCCGTCATCCTCCCCCGCCTCCTGCTCCTCGTCCCTTTCAGCATCCTCCTCCGTGGACGTTTTCGCCGTGACCTTAACGCGCCGCCGGCCCCGCCTCTTGTCGGCATCCTCCTCCGCAGCCTCCTCCTCCTCCTCCCCGTCGCTCTCCTCGTTGAGCGTTGTCTCAAAGGCCGGTTTGCGACGGCGCCGCGACGTGTCCTCTGGCGCCTCACACGCGCTGTCTGCCCCGTCGGACTCCGCCTCCTGCATTTCCGGCAGGTCACGCTCAGCGTCTGTGGCGGGCGCCGGCGCCTCATCGGTGGCTGCCACGCCTTCCCGCTCGCCCTCCTCGTCAAACTCAAACTCGTCGATCGCCTCATCGTCATTGGCCCCTCGCTCCTCCTCATGCTGCTGCCGCTGCGGCTGCTGCTCTGACCGCCTCTGCTTCTTCACGTTGACGTTGCGGTCAAGGTTCAGCTGCTGCGCCTGCTGCTCGTGACGCTGCAACGCGTCCTTAATGGCGCGATACGGATTGCGCGACGAGGCGCTGCGCTCCGTGTTGTCCCGCTGCCGCGAGGGATCGTTCCTCTCCTGCCGCCTCCAGTTTCGTCCGGCGTCGTCGGGCTGCTGATCATCCTCCGGCTGCTGCTCCTGCTCGGCGCCCGCGGCGTCTTGGGGCCGCTGCTTCTCGCGCCGCTCCCCGTCGTCCTTCCGCTCCGTCGCCTCCTCGCCGGTGTGCTCGTCCTGCCGCCCGCCGTGGAACACGTTCTCGTCCGCCCCGTCGCCCTCGCTGGCGCAGGAGGCGGCTTCGTCCTCGTCCTCCTCCCACTCACTGTCCTCCTCGCCGCCGTCGCCGTCGCCGTCGCCGTCGTGCTTCTGCCCGTTCGCTGCGGCTTCGTCCTCGTCCTCCTCCGCGCCTTGCGGGTCTCGCGACGCGTCCCTCGGCTCGCTGCCGCTGGGGCTCCGCTCATCGTCGCCGCCGTCGTCGCTGCTGCGGCCGTCGGTGTCGGCGTCGGCGTCGGCGATGCCGTCCGCGTCCGCCGCCAGCTCGTGCTCGCCCTCGTTGAGCTCCCGCTCCGCCTCCCGCAGCGCCTCCTCGCGGTTCTCAAAGTTGCCCGTCTCTTCGTTGTTCCCGTCTGCGTCATCCTCGTCGCCGGCCGCCTCGTTGCCGAGCGCGTCCTCCGGCACGTCCTCGGCGGCGCCGCCGTCGTCGCTGCTCATGTCGTCGGCGTCGTGCCTGTCCTTCTTCATGCGTTTGCGCTCCTGCGCCTCCTCGCCGTCGACGCTGCCCATCTCCTTCTCGGAGGCGTCGTCCTCGTCGTCGGCGTCCGCGTCTTCCTCAGCGGCCTCCCGCTGCTCCTTCTCTCCCTTGAAATCAGTCTCCACGTCTGCGGCCTTGTCCTCGTCGCTCCTCTCGCCGTCCCTCCCCTGCTCCTCCTCCCGTTCCTCCCGGTCCTTCATGCTCATCAGCTGGTCCTCGTTGTCGATCTGGTCCGTCACGTCCTTCTCGCCGTGGCCGTCGTCCATGCCCGTGCCGTCCCTCTGCTCCCCGTCGCCGCCCTCGCCATCGTCGTCGTCCTCCTCGTCCTGGCCCTCCGGCTTGCAGAAGCCTTTCTTCAGCAAAATGCAGAAGAGCCGGGAGAGAACAAGGCCCAAGTGCGACTGCGCCCGCAACGCAACCGCCGCCCCTTGCAAAAGCGCCTTAACACGCTCAAGGCAGGCGTCGAGGCGTGCCAGCAGTTGCTGCCGAAGCTCTGCGGAAACGCGCCGCTGCTTCACCGAGTCATGCAGCAACGTGTGGACTGACAAAGTGATGCGCTGCGAATGACACTTCAGGTCCCTCAGTGCGGCGGCGTAGTTATGGTACACCGCAGCCGCCCCCACGTTGTCATCATGGGCGCCGCCCTCACCGCCGTCCACGGGACTGGGGAGTGAACTGTCAACGACGACCTCCTTATACGCCGTCTCTAGCTCTTCCAGGAGCCGTTCAACCTTCTCGTGCCACGAGGAAACGTTCTCTGTGCGAGCCCGCTTCGTAGTAACAGCGGCGGCCTCCATTTCACCTGCACGCGCCGATGATGCCAAACTGAGTGCAGCACATAACGCAGAAGCCGAGGCATCGACGCAGCCAATCCCAGTCTTGCACAGCCTGGCGCAAACACCACTCAGTTGCGTGTGCAATGTGGCATGCTGCTCCAAAATGGCGTCTGGTACAGGGACATCGGTGCGCCGCTGAGCTTCTGACGCGAGGCAGAGCTTCCAAAGCTCATCGGTCCCGTGGGATAGCTCCTCAATGGTGCTAGACGCAGGCTGCAGCTCAAAGACTCGCTCCTGCATCAGCCATCGGGTGTTGTGCAGGAAGCACTGCAGTTGGACGCAGACTTCAAGCGACGCGTGCAGCAACTCACCTCCGCCAGTCACGGCGACCTCGTCGCAGGTTGCCACGCCATCCCTCAGAAGGGTGACTTGCTGGAGCACCTCATAGAGAGTGCCAATCAACTCCGTTTCCTCCACCGCAAGCGAAAATAAGGACTCCACGGTGCCTGTGCCGCGCTTTACCTGGGCCCCGCTAAGGTCCTTGTGTGGGTGCCGCTCCGCCTCCCGCATACGCTGCATCCAGCGGGCAAAGCGGTAGTGCTCCGCGGCGGCCGCCTCAACCCGCTGGCCAACGGCAAGATGACCATAGACGCTGCGACACGTCAATAGCGCATTTGTGGAGGCAAACAGCTCCTCCCATGGGGAAACCTGCTCCTCATGCGTGTGAGGCACACCGCTTTCCTCCAGAGTCTGAAAAAGTATTTTCAGTGCCCGCAACTTTTGATTCTGCGGCACCCCTTGCGCCTGCAAGGCCTTCACACGCGCAATAATTTCCTCGGCGGAGTCAGTAAGAAATTGCACCCCCTGCGCCACACAGGTGTGCGCCACGACTGCGTCGTCCAGCTCCCACTCAGAAGCCTCTATATGGATTTGCTTGCCGGAACGAGTTCGCTTGTGACCCGTCCTCAGATGGATGCTCATGGCCGCGTTGTCGCCACCGCTGCTGGCGCGACGCGCCTTGGGCTTTGCCTTCCCCTTCATCTGAAGCGAGGGCAGCACAAACCCCATGGCCGCATCCTCCTCGCAGCGCTGCTCCTCGCCTGCTATGACGCCAAGCACGGGTGTGCGCAGGATCTCGTCCAGCTCCGCCAAGGCACGTCCCATTTTGAGGTGCGACTTCTCCGCTGTGGCCCGCACGGCGTAGTAGGTGGCGTCCTCCCAGCGCATGATGCGCGTGAACGCCTCCATGTCCTCCTCAAGCGGCAACAAGGCAGCCCGCAGCTGTTCCGCCACCAGCGGCAAAAACTGGGAGAAGAAATCCACCAAATGCATCGCAACGTTGGCGAGCGGTGACGCCGATGCGGAGAGTGACGAGGAGGAGGAGGAGGATGCCACGAGGTGCAGGGCGAAGCCCCGCAGCAGACGAAGCCGCACGTGAAAATCGCCGTAGTGCGCCCCCCACATAAAGTCCATGCAGTGGCGGAAGAGCAGCAGACAACGCTCGGACAAGGCCTCGGTCGTCGCGGTGTCACCGCCGTGAACGAGGTCACATAGAGTGAACCACTGCATGCCGGCCTTCAGCTCCCACTCCTCCCGCTTCGCCGTAAAGACTTGTGACCAGCAGTGAAGCTCAAGTCGCCTCCAGCGCAGGACAAACGAAGACAACTTCGTCATGTGCGGTAGAATCGAGGTGTCGCGCGATGCGTTGCGCTCCCACTCATAGCATTCCCGCAAAAGAACCTCGCAGCCTGTCATGACCTTCATGAGGGGTGTGTTGAGTGCGGGCAGGGCGGCAATTCCGTGCGCTATGCGAGAGCAGCGGTGCAGCGAGGGGGTGTCAGGGTACGTTGCTTGCAGCTTCTCCACCGCCTGCATGAGAGCCCGCAGGGAGGCGCTGAAGGCCCGAATCTCCGACGGGGCCGGATCGGTAAAGATGTTAAACCCACTGGCACGCTTTTCCTCCAGCGACACCTCCGTCGGGAGCAGCTCACGCGTGAGCAGCACCGCGCGTGCCGCGAAGCCCCCAAGCAGCAGCTGCTCCTCCGCCGCGGGCAACATCATGCCGGTCTCAGACATGCCGTTGAACCCGAAGCGGTGCAACTCGCGCGAAAGAAGGTCAAACCGTAGCGCAAACGCACGCAGCGCCTTCTCTCCATCAAAAACGGAGTCGTCCTGCAACGCCAGCAGTCTTTCAAAGAACTGATGGTGGGTCTCAAGGAGGTGGCGCACGTGACGCGCCCCTTGCGGGCCGGACAACATGAGACGCGCGTGCCGTCCCGCACGCTCCGCCGAAAAAGACGACGCCGACGGCGGCAGGGCACCCGCAGCCTCCGCCTCGGCTTCGTTGCGGTCCTCCACCGCGTCACGCATGCGGATAAAGTCCTCCTCGTAGTTCGGGAAAAGCTTCTTCAAGGCACGCAGGTGTTTCTCGTCGTCTCCCTCAATGGTGATGGCCTTCTCCGCGTAGAGCACGGCCATCTCCTCGGCACGCCGCTCCTTCGCCTCCAGCTCCTCCACCGTGCGGTAGAACTCGCGGTAGGCGTCGAACAGGTGCTCCACAAACTCCCGCTTAAGGATCCGTGCCGGGATGCCTTGCACCAGCGTCAGGCAGGAGTCAAGATACGCCAGACGGTGCTCCAGTGCGTGCGTCGCTGAGGACGGAAGGGTCACGGACGACACGGCGAGCTGCGGGAAATGCATCATGCGTGCCGCCTCGGACATGCTGAGGAGCGCGTTGCTGGCACCTGAAGACGGCTGCAACTGACAGCTAAGGTGCGCCGCCAACGCTGACACGAGGGCGGGTTCCGCCATGACAAGTGTGACATCTTCGTAGCCGCCGTAGTTGTCTAGCATCTCCGTAAACTGCTGATAAAGCAACTCGCTCCACGTCAGTCGCGCGGCGTAGGCCTCTTGCTGCTTCTCGTACAACACCACGGCAAGACGCTCGTCTGATAAGGCGGTGTCGCACAGCTGGTGCAGCGCGCCCACAAGGTGAGCAAACTTTGCGCCTGACGGGTCGGGTCGAGCAACGCTCTTCCCGGCGGCCTTCAGAAGCAGCGCCTCCTCCGCCGCCAGGAGGTCGTGCACCAGGCGCCGCTGTTGACTGCCACTGCGCAGGGAGACTTCTTCAGACCACTTAAACGCCTTTTCCACGCCCGCGAGACGCCCCAGCTCCGCCTGTGCCACCTCCTTTTTCACCAGCCACTTGTGCATGGGGTCAATGGGGGAGGCGGGGAGGAGGAAGCGGCACTTCAACGCGGCCGCCAACGACACACGCCGAAGCGAGTCCTCTGGAGAGTCCCCTCGATCGTTCGCCAAAAACTGTAGCAGCGGCCAGGCCGCACGCAAGAGCGGGTCCGCGCAGGACCCCTGCGCCCCCGCACGCACCACATCCAACAGCTCCAATGCCAGCGTGGGAGACTTCGTCCGGAGTGCGTTGATTTCCGCCCCACGCGGAAGCAAATGTGGGGCACACAGAACCAACAACGCAATCAGCTCTCCCAGCGAGTTGCGCTCCCACTGCTCAAATGGGTTTGCACCCAGCACCGGCAAGGCGTTGCAAAACCTCAGTAGTTCTGTCACGACCGCCGTGTGGTCATTCAGCTGCGCCCCCATCGAGATCACAGAGACCCCAGCGGCGTGCTTCAACGCGGCATACGCCGCTTTTGTCCAGGCCCCGTGCAGACTGTGACACCCGCTCGCAAGCCCGTGACGTGCAATGAAGTGGGAGGTCAGCAAGGGCACCAACGCGACCCACGCCTCTGCATCACCGCCATCCTGCAGCCGAAGGTTGAGGACCTCCCGCCACAGCGTGACCTCCAACTCGGACAGCGCGTGCAACTTTGTGCAATACAAGTCAATGAACTGACGAACGTCCCTCTGCAGGAGCTTCGCAGACGAGGTGGAAGGAGCCCAGCGCATTTGTTGAAAGCGCTGCACCAACGCGAATTCCGCACGGAAGATGGCGGTATGCCAAAGGGACTTCAGTAAGCTCTCAGTTTGTGACAGGTTGACCGCCTTTGCGGCGGCATTCCACGCGGCAAAGGCAGAACGCTCATCGATGCTCGTAATGTGCGGACGAACAATACTCCTGTGCACAGCGGACTTACTCGTGAGAAGTGGATACGGTAAGTCAAGGTAGCGCCGGAGGGAAGCCAAAAATTGGTCGATCGCCTCTAGCAAAGCCCCGGCCTCAAACACCGTTTGCTTCTTTGCAACGGAACGAAGCAACGCCACGTGTGTCACCAGTGAGACAAAGTTGTCTGCCGTCACCTGAAAGGGCGGATTGGATGCTGAGAGATGTTGCAGCAGGGGAAAAAGGTAGCGGCATATACGCTGTTGCAGACGCGGGACCAAGATGCCAGAGGTGGCCTCCAGCGTCAGGCGGAGAACCTCTTGAAAGGCGCTGTTAAGCACAGGGGAGTCTGAGACAAGAACATGCAGGCCACTCACGCCCTTGCACCACGCGGCGCATGGCCCTAATCTCTGCAGGGCAAGACACCAAAGAGAATCAAGGCTCGCTGAGGAGGTGTGGCCGTACTGCGGGGAGAGTAGCAGCAAGGCGTCACGCATCTCATCCTCCGCCAGGAGCGGCGACAAGTTAGACGAGAGGAACCGAGACCGGGCGGAGGACAACACGTCGCTGGCAACGGTATCCGCAGGCTGCTCCAGCAGAAAAAACAGCAGCAAGTCCCGGAGGGAGTGTTGAACCAGCGCGGTGCCTGATAGGGACACAAACGTCTTTAGCCCTAACCCACTTCGGTGCACACGAATGCGTACCAACGCTGACACCATGTCTGCCTCCTCTTCGCCCTCGCATAGACGCATGGCGGATAGCAGATCCATGACAAGCGGGGAGCACTTCACACAGTGCTCCAAATCCTCAGACATCATGCGATCGAGTGCCTCCAGCACAATCGTCCTGTTGACTAACCAGTGGCCGCAACGATTCCGAATGTACTTGTGAAGAAGCGCGGCCTTCACGTCGTTCAAAGTGGCAGTCATGGGCAACATGGCAGCCGTTTTAATAAGTGTAAACGTGTTTGGTGCTCCCGCCGCCAAAGCATCTGAGAGTTGGGCAGAAATTGGCAGTGCGGAATCGGCATGAAAGCCGCCAATAACAAACTCACGGTGGTAGTTGCCCAGCCTGTCAAGCACCTGAACCATTTTACAGGGAGACACAGCCCCCGCAATCGCAATGCTTTCAGAGGAAGGAATACAAATAGGATCAATGTACACCTCTACTGCACGATTTCGCATGGCGCGTGAAATCTCACCATACTTTGGATCCAGTGTGGCAAAGAGACGAAAGTTTGGATGCGGCTGCACCGTCCGCACCTGCCCCTCCACAAGCCCCTGCTCGTTCACCGAGAGCATCCCGTTTGGCTCCACAAGTGGATTGAGGCGATCCAGCACACTGGCGTTGCAGTAGTTCACGTTGTCCAGGACAAGCCAATGACCATACAGCATGGCCTCCAGAATTAAGGAGTCCCGCCACTCAAACTGACCTTGTTTGCCCTCCACCTGATCAAAGCCGCCAAGCAAATCCACCGTGTCGCAGGTGGCATTCATTGAGAACGTCACCAACCGCGCCCCCACAAGTGCAGCCGCGGTTCGAATACAAAACGTCTTCCCAGCTCCACTCGGGCCCACCAACAGGCAGAATTGGTTTTGCTCTGCACACGTCAAGACGGAACGGATGACTTCAGCCTTGGAGGGAAGTAGCAGTAGCGGGACAGCCGTGTCCGGTGTCACAGGCTCCCGCATTCGGTGCGCCAGAAAAGAGCTCCCAAAGTAAACCGCGTCGTTGGCTATGAGAAAATCAGATTCTAGACTCGCCTGTGCTTCCTCAACGGCGTCGCCAAAGTGGCGTCTTGCCAAGTGATGAACCTTGGCTCTGTCCACGTCCGTGCGCATGCGCTGAATAAATAGGACTTGGATGAACTCGCAAGGCTTATCCAACTTCTGATAGGCTTCCATAAGCTTTGCCCATCGAAGCACGTCACGCAGGTTGAACTCCCACGGGCTCCCACGCATCCCGTATGCACGGTACACCATCACGTCACGCTGAAGTTCCCCCACAAAGTGCACCATATGCTCCAAAACGCCCCTGTCGATGCCAGGGCACACAGCAAAGGCAATGCACAACAAATCCTCCACGTCAAAGGGCTCAATGCGCACTTTGGTGAATCGATTCAAAAAGCTACGAGGCAGCCCTTTACGGCCACCTCCCTCCAACAATGGATTTTGACACGCAAAGATACGAAAGTCATCGGCCGAATGAAACTCCTCACCCAACTCTGGGATGAACACCGCGGAGCGGTGATCCAGTAAGGCATTGAGACCTTCCAGTACGGCCTGACTAGCAAGGTTCAATTCATCTAGGATTACCCACCAACCGGCTTTGAGGGCCTGCAAGAGCACGCCGTCGGACCACGCAAACGTAGGCTCATCGGTTTCACCTGACGAAGGAGAAGGTAAATAGGTACCGAAGAGATCCATGATATCTGTTTGCTCACTCAAATTGATGCGTACGACACGCTTGCCGAAGGCGCATCCCAAGGCTTCCACGATGCTGGTTTTGCCAACCCCCGGGCTCCCCTCCAGGAGAATCGCCTTGCGCACAATACTGGCACGAATCAGCTTGGATAAATTTTGTCGCGTGGAAGGTGCTCCAAAAAAAAACTGTCTCTCCATAGCCGGCGGCAACCTTGGCTCCTCCAAGGCATCAAATAATTCCCAAAAAGGTGTCTGCAGACAACCTGAATCAATCTCGCTGAGTTCCTTGGCCTTTTCCAGACAAAATTCCCGCAATTGACGGGACCCAAGCTCCATTTGCCCTGTACCAATGCCCATACCATCAAGTATAACAGCATCCAGTCCATGCATAAATGCAACCCGGTCATCGCAGTGCGTATGCGCCGCATTCATGAAGGAGACCCAGCCGATAATATCTCGGATGCTAATGTGCTGAGGAGCCCCAGTCGAGGTTATGGCATTGGCAGCAGCACACAAAAGGGTTGCCATTCTTTTCGCCCACGGTTCAAGAGAGGGCATTAACCGCTTTGAGAGAATCAGAGTAACCTCTGCTTCATCGGTTGTAGGACGAACATAGATCTCCGTAAATCGGTTACGCAGAGCTGGCGAGAGTTCCTTCTTTCCAAAGTCTCCACCTGGATTCATAGTTGCAAGTACTCTAAAATTTTCATGTGCAAAAATAACATCGGCGGTACTCTTTTCAGCCAGCGTAACGACCCGTGTTGGCTCTAATACACTATTTAACCTCTCCAGTACGCTATCCTCAGCAAGTGAAATCTCATCTAGGAGAAAGATATTTCCCTGCAGCATGCACTCCACAAGTGGACCGTTGCGCCACTCAAAAAGAGCCTTACTTCGCTGATTAGGAGGTACAGGACGAAGACTTCCCAAAAAGTCTGCAGCTTCACTGTGTTGATGACAGTTTATAATGCTTAGAGGACGATTTAGCAGTGCCGCCCAAATTTGGCAGACGGTTGTCTTACTGCTACCAGTTTCTCCAACTAACAGCACGGGTTCCTTGTAATGCAGACAAATTCCAACCACCGTAAAAAGACGACGCATAGACTCGGTCCATACAATACCAAACTCATCTATCGCTCCGTTCTCCATCAGCCCGTAACAAGCAGCAACATATGGCCAATGCTGGGGGGAGTAAATGGCCTCCTCATTAAGCTCCGTCTTCGTGACAGACTCAATAATATCCTTCACAATTTGACGCTCTTCCGCTTTGCGACACCGTTCAGCCAGTAAAAGAAAGCCATGTTCTGCCATTTCTTGGTAGGTTCCCGGCCGACGCTCCGCCCAACGAAAGAGGTCGCGAGGTGTTATAAACCCATGACGACCAGCAAATATCTGCGAGGCCTGACGACGCAGTTGCAGCGAAACCATAATCTCCACCATCTTCTCCGCAAAACTTGTACAAAGAGGATATCGTTGGCACAGTATTGTACATAACTCCGAGGTTGGTATGTCATCAACGGTCATTTCTAGAAATCGATTGCGGAACGCCCTGGAAAGAAGTTTTCGACCACCATAAATACCTGCAGGGTTTTGCGTGGCAAAGATGCGCAAATTAGGGTGTGGTTTTACTGTCTCTTGAGTGTCCGCCACAAATAACTCACGATTGTCGTCTAGCAAGCGATTCAGTGCCTCAAGAACATCTGTGGGTGCAAGATTTAACTCATCAAGGACAACCCAGTAACCATTTCGCACCGCATCTACAAGGATACCGTCCACAAAGCGAAGTTTTCCACGCTCATCTGAAACATAGTGGCCCACATACTCCTGAATTTCTGTACTCTCATGATTATTTATTCTCACACATTTATGACCAGTAAGTTCAGCAAGATATTTTACCATCGAACTTTTACCAGATGACGTTGGTCCCTCAAGTAACACAGGCCTATCTGCAAAAACAGCTCGGGCAACATTCAACAGATGCCCTCGGACGCTTGTAGTCAAAATAAAAGATTCATCTTTTTTGGGTTCCTCTGAACCAATGGGTAACCATATGTGTTCATACGCAATGTAGTTCCCTTCAGACGGGCAATGAGGCAATGTTGGGTGTGGAGGCTGTTTTCCGGAAAAGATGTTTCGAATTATTAACTGCTCCACAACATTGTGAAACTGACGCTGTAAAGAGGTGGCAAATCCCAACATCAAGCCATCAAATAGTGCCAATGTAAACCCATATTGGGATGTTGCTTTTCTAACATAGGCAAGGGAACGAGTCAGTGTTCGTAGACTGAATGAGGGAGGCCTTGTTTCACCATCCAAGGAGCAGAGTGTCGATTTTGCCTTTCCTACGCAGTCCAAAAAAAAGAGGTGATCTCTTCAGCTTTGCAGTCCGGAGCCAAATGTCCAATATATTCATTAACAACAGTATGGATATCATAACGATCAAAGGGTTCATTAACGTAAAATTCCGTAAATTTGGAGCGCAGCGAAGGTGGAAGATCTTTCTTTCCAACATCTGTGGGTGGATTCATGTTTGCAAACACGTGGAAATTTTTGTGCCGTGCTATCGGTTCACAGTTTCCCTTATCAGTGAGAAACAAGGCATCAACATCTCCCAGTACTGCAGATACTCGTTCTAAAACCTCCGTCGTTGCAAGATTCAGTTCGTCCAGCAGAATCCAAGATCCTTCCCTCCAAGCCTTGACCAAGGAGCCCTCTTCAAAGTGGAAGGCAAACGTCGCTTTTGCCTTCTCCAATGTGTTTAGCAATTTAACTGCTGTTTTCTCCAATAAACACCACTCATTTACCATATCCTCCGAAAAAGGTTGACGGGTATTCTTTAACTTAAACGAATTAAAACCTTTCAATATCTGTTTTACTACAGCTACCCAGGAACACTTCCGCACGGCAGCCTGAAGAGAGTCCAAGAACTGAACATTTCTTGAGGCAGTAAATGTCTGAGAAAACAATTCCACAAATTTATGGTATGCATCCCTTGCAGCGACAGCGACATCTAATGGTTTCCAGCCCCCCATAAAATCACTCGTGTCCGTTTGTTGATTTAGGTTGTGCACAATAAGTTTCTGTCCAAGTTGATCTGCAAGATACTGAACAATAAACGTTTTACCCACACCCGTTTCACCTGCAAGAAGCACATTTTCTTTTGCATCAACAGCCACCGCTATTCTTTCTAAGAGAGACATTGCGTGCTTTGTGGCAGCAAAGGCAACTCGAGTCTCTCGTTCGGTAGTTGTAGAAAGAAAAAGAGGCAGCGTGACGCGACCGACAGTGATGTATTCTCTCGTTAAACTCATTTCCGGCCTATTTTCCTTCACGAGCGACTCCGCAACATTTGATGAAATACCCATGGCATCCGCCAGCAACTCCGTAGCCGAACTTAACGCATTGCCTTCAGGATATCCGGCCAGGATGCAATCAAATGCCTCACGGAACATTAGCTCACGAACGGTTGAGGAAAGAAATCCCCCAAGAGGACCTACTGATACTAGACGTTTGTTCACACGTTTACACCACTTTAGCAAGCATCGCAGTGACACCAGTGGAGCATTTGTGCAGGGGGAAAGGAGCGTGGCCAGAGCATGAACAATATTTATCGGCACAGAGTACAAGGCCTTTGCAACTTCACAAACCTCATCGGGGGGGAGATTTTCCATCACCACGGTGCCCCACAGCTCTGCAAACGGGATAGAATTACTTTTACGCGTGATAAGGGCATCGCCAACTGAACGCAGCTGTTGTGTAGCTATGATTTTAAAGTTCGGATGGGAATGAATACGACGGTTTTTCTCAGGCAGAAACAATGTCGACTCTTCAAGCAGAGAAAGCAACACGGAAAAGACGTCAAATGACGCCAAATCAATGTCCTCCAAAAGAATCCAAAACCCATTCTCAACTGCAGAAGTCAGAGGTCCAGGGATCCACTCAAAAGCGCCAGGAGTATCCGTCGCTGAAAACTTTCCCAGTAAATCTTTGCTGTCAAAGGAATCATCGACATTTACCTGAATCAACGTCTCTTTGGCTCCGTATCTATCCGCTAATGTGTTTGCCAAGAAACTCTTTCCACACCCTATATCGCCCTGGATCAACACTGCATTTGACGAATCCAGAGCAACCTTCAGGTTGTTGAAGTTGCTCTCGCTTGTCGGCGTCAAAATCATCTTCTGTGAATATAACAACAACGCGCATGAAGAAAGAAAGAAAGCACAGAAAGGAAACGAAGATGGAGAAAGCGAGAAACAATGGGCATAACAAAGCAAACGAAACTGGCCCAAATACTGCAGCCAAGCACTCTCAAAGCGGTAGCTGCCTTGAGTATACCCGCAATTTCTACCACTCTGAGAGAACGGAAGAAAACAACAACAAGCCAGGTGACTCTTCATTTTTTTTCCTCTAGTTTTTTCACGCTCATTCTCTCTCACTAGTTTGTCCACTTCGCTCTTTCATTTTTTCCACTACAGGGTGTAACTGCGCCTTCCGGTGAATCATACTTTTTTTCTTTCGCACGCTCTGAAGTCGGCTACATCTCACGTTCCTTAACTCTTCCCCGCACAGAGGCTGTTCTACGGCGTCGAATAAAGGAAGCTTGGCCACTGCTTTTTGCGCCACAAAGGCCGACGACGTTCGCCTTCTTGACGGATCAATACTCAGTGAAAGCATGTACTCGGAGAGAGAAAGCTCTGTTTCAAGGAGTGAAGCTATGGTCCAGGCGGCCTCATTATCTTCTGCTGCCAAACGATCACAAAGTTCCAAAATAATTTTCCTTGGAATATGAACTCCACTCGCCAGCAAGAGAGTTACTACCCTTAATGCGTCTGGATACGAACTTGTGGAGTTGAGAAGAGTGTAGGCAAACTCTTCCCCAGAAAAAAAACCCCGGGAGAGACCTCCAGTATCGTACGAGCAAGACGAAGAAACCATGGGGCATCTTGTGCGTTGAGTTTTGGTGTCAAGTACTCTCAGAGTAGGTAATGGGTTGTACAGCGGCCGTGGTTTGCTACTCTGAAGACTGATAGGCTTTACAGCAGGCATTTGCGGGGTAATGGTTTCCGTTCCGGTACTCGTACAGTATGGAACAAGTAAAAGAGATTGTCTCCTGTTGTTCTCCAGTAATCCAAGCGACGGTATGAGGCCTTCCGAATCATACCCCTCCATAAATCCCACAGCCGATGTAAGAACGTTCAGCAGACTTTTCTCCAATTTCTTGATTGTCAGAAAGCACGATAAAGGAGCATACTTTAGTCGTGAAAGCGACTGTTGTCCACAACCTTGTGTCACTTGCGCCATATAGACATTTTTGTAGCAACTTTTTAATGCCAACATAAGAGTTAAAAGAAAAGAAAAACGTGGCGTGGGAGGGACGGGCAGGGAAGCAATTGCACATGCGGCCAAAAGCTGGGCTCGCCACGCGCGCAATCGCGCCAAAAGAGCCAGTCGCCAATCGCTGAGCCACAGTGCCGCCCTCTCCCCTCCCCGGGGGCGGGGAGGTCAAAGAGGAAAGACCTCATCGCGAACCGAAGAGCCACACGCCAACAGCACGCGAGCGCGCCCCACCCCTTATCCGGTTATTAATGGCCGAAACGGATCGCGCCGCGCTCTCGGGCGGGGGGGGGGGGAAGGGGAATATGAAGGAAAAAAAACAGGGACGACAGAGCAGGCCGCGTCCACGCACCCCAGACGCGGGGCGCCTGAAAGTTTGTTTGTTTCTTTGATTCCTTCATTGGGGTTGGTCTCCCGTTGCGCTGGACCTTCGTCATTTCTTTTTTTTCTGACATTTTTATGTTCTGTTTAAGGTATTGGCGTTAGTCAGTGTTATTTTTGTGAATTTCGTTATATGTATGCATTACATTTTTTGTTTTGTAGTTCTTTCCTTTGTATCGTGCTTATGAACCCCGTTTTTTTTTGTTTAGT